AAACAGAGTTTTGTGCTCCCCTTGTAGGGCTTCCAGCTTTCCCAGACAGCTAGGCCAGATGCCATTTGTGGCAATGGCATCTAGTCTACCCAGTTGGAAAATATGACCATACACTAAGGGCGCATCTACACAGTGGGGCTTAGCTCAATTTGCTAAGCACACATCACATTATGTCAATTGCGTAGCTTATTTCGAAATAGCTTATTTCCAGTTTTGGTGCTGTCTACACAGCACTCATTTCAAAATAGAACACTCTTCCTCAGACCTCCCTTACTCCAACTCCTGTAACCTTCATTTTATGAGTAAGAAGTCCTCCAGCTTGACAGTATTTAAACATGTCGAAATAACTGCTGGCTGTGTAGACACGGACTAAGTTATTTCAAAATAATGCTAGTTATTTCAAAATAATGTTGTTGTGTAGATATAGCCTAAATGGTGTCCCAGGCAAGAGCTGTCTTCAATGCCTCCTTTTCCCCTCCACTTGTTAAAACTTTTGAATATCAAGCCACAACTTAGACTAGACATTTGAAGTCAGTGATCTGGGTTTCACATTTGGAATACCTGAAACATTTTACTTCAAACTAGCGATGTAGACTAGTCGACTAGCCGATAAACAAATGCTTACTGGATAGTCAACAGGCTAGTCATCTAGTTGCTCCCCCCCCCCCACCTTGCTGCCTCTATCAGAAAGAGGTAGCAAGGGAGACGGGTAAGAGGTGGGGTACTTCAAAGTGTCAGCGCCACGTAGAGCTTGGAGCCAGATGGCAGGCTCCATGCAGCGCTGCCACTTTGAAACACCATGTGCAGCCTGGGGCTAGCTGGGGTGTTCCCAGGCTGCACACGGCGTTTCAAAGCAGCAGCACCTCATGGAGCCCAGGGTCAACAAGGGAGTCCCCAGCCAATCCCAGTCTCCACAGGGTGCTGACGCTTTAAAACGCCACATGCAGCCCGAAGCCAAGCGCCCCGCAGTGTTTCAAAGTGGTAGTGCCACATGGAGCCCAGGGTCAGCAGAGGAGTCCCCAGCTGACCCTGGGCTCCACAGTGCCACCGCCTTTGAAGGGTAGCAACAGCCCTAGGACTTTTGCTACACTTCAAAGGCAGAGGTGCCCTATCGACTAATCAGATAGTCAATTACTCAACATTTAACATCACTACGTCAAACATTCTATTATCCCTTATGTTGCTAATGAGCAAGAGCGTGCCCCAACTGGGGGTCCCCACATAGTCACCGGAGTGCCTGCCACTACATCCAGCTCTCAGTGCAGCTCTATTGACTTAAATGAAACTACACTGATTTGTACCAGAGAAGGCAATGCACTGAAGATACATGAGAAAAAAAAACAGGTTAAAATAACTAGTGGCTCTTATACAGCACTTTTCACACATACAGGCAGTCCCCGAGTTACGCGGATCCGACTTATGTCGGATCCGCAGTTACGAACGGGGCTTTTCTCGCCCCGGAGGACTGGAGCGGCGGGACACCCAGATGCGCTGCAGTCCCGCCACCCCCGTCCTCCGGGGCGAGAAAAGCTGCTCCACGTCTCCCTGGTCTGCCTGGGCTGTCCCGCTGCGTGCGTGCTCCGCGGCTTTGCTCCCCATCTCCCTGGTCAGCAGACCAGGGAGACGGAGCAAAGCCATGGAGGACGCGGGCACGCCACCCCCGTCTCCCTGGTCTGCTGGGGGGTCCCCTCCCCTCCCGTCCCCTCTCTTCCCCAGCAGACCAGGCTTTTCTTGCCTACGCCTGGGGTAGAGCAGCTGGGGCGCTGCCGGGTTGGTCCCACAGCGCCGCTCCTCGGCGCTACTGGACCAACCCAGCAGCACCCCAGCTGCTCTGCCCCAGGCGTCCCCAAGTCAGCTGC